GGCTTGTACAAAACATGCATGAGCATATATTATTAATTTATCTCTTGTTTTGGGTAATTCGAATAAGATAGTTTCAAATCCAACGTATCAAATGGATTACCCATTTACTAAAGTCTAAAACCCAAAAACTCAAACATGTTCTAATACCATACAAATGCATGAGGTTTTAGCAAATTATTATCTCATATGAATTACCATTGATTATGTGTGATTAATTATTAAGAAGGTGAAAAGGTTTGGGTGTTTCAAATGCATGAGGTTTTAGCAAATTATTGTGGGGGGTTTCAAATGCATGACATTCAAGGGAAAATGCAAGGTTTATAAGTACATAAGATTTGTTAACAAAGTCAAAAAGTAATAAAAAAAATTTTGCAAACACCAATTAGGCATCCGATCGAAAGACGTAGTCAACTTTGTTTTTCACAAGACTACATGCATCATTCATGCCTTTCATCCTTTCAACTTTTCAGTCATATCAAACACAATATTATTTTCCTCTTTAACATTTCATACTCATTCCTTGTAAGAAAATACTCATTTTTCAACCTTTCGTCAATTTTTATTATTTCCCGATACAAATAATATATATTAAACTAAAAATATAAATAAAACATTAACAATACTTAATTTTTTTTGAAAAACTAAAATTTTAAAACGTAAAAATAAGCCAAAGGTACATGAACATGGATAGTTACTTACACATGACTTCTAATATGGCCAATGCACATCATCAACTAACTACAAACAAAAATCACTTAAAACAACAAATGAAGATTTTTTTTTCTAAATAAAAAAAAATAAAAACTAAAAACTTTCACTTTAAAATCAACGGGGAGGTTTATGCAAACGAGGTCGGTTACAGAAAATTCGACCATTGGCTCTCACGAATGATGCTACACCTACACTCAGACCCGCCCAGAATAAAGAAAACAATAATTGCCATATATCATCCCCAACTGCATCAAATTTTATGATATTATAATTGTTTTTATTTAAATATAAAACTTTTTTAAGCTATAAAAAAAAGTAAAAAACAGCAACTCACCTCGCATGAGTGACATCATTGCAAAAAAGAACCCCATTGTGATCAGAAACAAAGAAAGAGGAAGAGACTGCAAAAAAAAAAATGTAAAAACTGAAATCCATGATTCAAAAAAAAAAAAATCAAAGGAATTTGTAAGGTGTAATTACAGCAATGGCTTCAATCCCTCCTTTTGGCGCAGTAGAAACCAAATCACGTGAGACAGAAACAATGTAATGACCTTGGAGTAGATCAATCGAATCCTACATAAACAAATAATTAATGAATTACTTTTTAATTTATATATATTTATTTATTTTCCAAAGAAAAATCTACCTGTTTTGTACCATCGACAAAATTGTTGAGGTAGTATCGCATTAACGCATTCCATCCGTCTTTAAGAATCCCTTGAGTAGTCCTCTTACCAACTCTATTATAAAAAAGATATATACATATATTTCATTGATAGATACACACTTTACCCTTCAAAAAGAAAGTTGAAATGTCTAAAATACCCTTTAGTAACCATGACATTGGGCAAATAGGTAAATTTTACCTAACAAAATCTCCTTTTAAAGCAGGCGTGCCGGAATACTGGATGCTTATATCATCCCCGTGGTTAGCCCATACTATTATGTTATATTCAAGTATATAAATATAAATTTAAAAAAATTTAAAAATACACAATATTCAGTAAGAAAATACATACATATTTTGAAACGGTCATCAAAATTAGGATATGTACTAATGCTTTCATTAGCATCAAAAACACCAAGCCTTTGAAGTTGTAATTCCAACATTTTTCGTCCAATCATACTCTGAAAAAACACGTCAGATAAGAAAATATTAAATTTTCTATCTTTTTTTTTCACTTAATAATGGTTGTAAACATTAAATATACCTGTGTGACATTTGTACGATCTAAACAATCAACACAATTCGTGCGTAAGATTCCAATTTGCTTTTCAACTATTTCACCCTTTTCATTTAACAAATAGTACCTACCATTTAAACAAAACATCAAAATGATTCTATGGGATATACAAATAAAGATATTATTAACATGGATAATACAATACCTATTTTTAATGAGGAAATCCTCAATGTGTTCATAAAGGATAGATAGGCGCTCAAAATGAACATGTCCACAAATGCGATGGAAGTCAAAATGCAAGTATCTATACACAATGAAAGTCAACAACCCATTTAGAAAAATCAAAATATATAATTCACCAACAAATTGGTAAAATATGATTAAAAATATATATACCTGACGTCATTGCTAAGAATATTATGCACTGAATTGGCAAATTGTTGAGTCAATTGTCCCTCGCCACCATCCTATAAACCATAAAAAATATAAAACTTTGAGTCAAAAAATATGAAATGAGAAAATTATATAATATATATGATTATATATGTATTTGTATACCGTATTGACAAGATCAACAGCGAAAACATTTCCATATTTCTTCCTTAAATCCAGAAAATGGCGTTCAGCAACTCGAGGCTGCAGAAACGAATCAAATAAAACTGTCACTAACCGAAGAAATAAGAACAATTGAAAAGTGTCGCAAAAAGAAAGTTGCACATACCGCTTCCTCACGTCTCAAGATATCGAACTTAGGTTTGTATGTCAAATCAACAATTTGTTCCCAGATAAAAGGCATTGAACCTCGCACCTACAAAATCAAATTAATAACATATAATCGATCTAGGGTTAGGAAATTGGTGTGATTTGTGAATTCGAAGAGGAAAAAAGATGTATATGAAATTAATCAAACCTGCACAAATGATGAGGTAAACCCTTTTAGCTGTATGATTTGTTCACTTTCGACAAAGTTTGCTACATAACCATCAGCATCAGCTCCTCTTCTCCATAGCCGAGTCCCTGTTCTTCTTGTGCATCTTCTTGCGATCAATGTGACGTCTATAATCTCTAATCCGATTGCTGATTGAAACGTCTGGAAAGCTGGGGATAAGTTGAGGAGATAAGAAATGATTTGCATTCATTCATTATCGAACAATAACTTTGAAAAAAAGTAAATTAAGAATTGATAGAAAGGATACATACATCCTTGAATAACAGGAAGCATGTATGGATCAAGTTTGTTATCTATGAAAACTTCCAACATATAGTTGTTCCACAAGAATCGTGGCTCTGCTTGTCTCCAAAGAGGAAGCAGCCTCGATTCATCACCCAAATCATTCAAACGTTGGGCACTGAAAATTGTGAGAAACAAGTTTTCTTGATTATCATATGAATTGGGTGATTTAATCATGAGGTGAATGTAGAGAAGGTGAAGGACCTTAGTGTTATATTGACATCATATGAGAAATAGAGTCCGTGGGTCTTTTCTGCAACTTTTAACAGATTGGAAAATTCAGACTCCACTCTTTTCTGTCAGATATGGGAATTGTAAGATGATTGTTTACACTATCATAAAGATTAACGAGCATGAAGAAGTAAAAAAACAGTGACCAAGGGTAATTTGACCTGCTCCTCGGGAGAATTTTTCAAGGAATGATCACAAGGGAAGACTTTGAGTGACAAAACTTTGAAGAACGGATGCCCCAAGTAAGTTCCAACAGATTCACGATCGGTAATCACTAATAAATATGATCCTAGAACAGAGAGATGGAGATACAGTTCAGGAGTCATGAAAACTTGATAAAATTGACTATCATGCAACCTAGAAGTTAAACTGATTCAAATCCTTAGCATAATGATGATCATCTAACCTGCTAATAGCTTTAGCATCCCAACAACACCAAAAACCGTCTGAATTTTTGGAACACGAACCATGGTGCAATGCGGAACTTCATCTACATAAACAGAAGATTACATTAATGATTAATCAAGTACTATCAGAACCCTCCAGATTATTACATTCTTCAAATCCCATGGAAAATCATAATCGCATTAACCCCTTTCAGTACATCTAAGGCGATCATTACACTATCAGAAATTGATAAATATTCGTAAGCAAAAGAACAGAATCGAGAACAAACCAACAAGCGACATGGAGCCATTAACACGATTGACAGCTAAACAAGAACCAGAAGAACCATCAGTGGGTTCAACGATATATTGATCCGGAAACTCCCATAACCTCATACGCGTGTAGAGTTTCTGGGAGGGATGAGCCTTCACCATCATCGTTCCTGATTGTTTCTTTTCCTACTTTGAATTGTAACAGAATTGAAATCGAATAGAATTGAATTCTAGGGCAATGATTTGGGTTTTTTCTCGATTTTTAAGAGAAATTTATCGAAGAAGAAATGGAGTTAGAGTGAAGAAGAGCGCGATAAACTGGAAAAACAGAATGCTATAACGGAACCACTCCCATTTCGGAATGCTTGTTTGGATTTAACAAAATCAAATGGAGTTATTTACATTGAGTTCCCTTGTACTTTCCTATATTTACATTGAACCCCCCCCCCTTTGCTATAAAATACCTTATTGTTTACCATTTTCTAAACATATTTTTTAGGGAAAAAAAAAACAAAAACAAAATCATTACCTACCAACAATAGAACTCTTATATTTTGTTTATATGCAGAATAACCATTACATTTTCAGTTACGTTTTAGATTTACCCAAATATTCGTCTTTTTAAAGAAGGTATTGGTTGTTTTGTGACATTACATTTATCTTATTCGTTTTTAGGTTGTGATAGAAAAAAAAAACAATGTTACTTATATTTGCTTGAGTAAATGGTCGTTGAGTAGATGATCTATTTCTTACGTTTTATATTATACAATAGGCAACGTCACTTAATTTTGTTTCCATGATAACCTAAAAACGAAAAAAAATAAATGTCATGTCATAAAGCAACCGTTAATTTCTTTAAAAACCGAATTTTGAGTTAATATAAAAGAAAACTAAAAATGTAAGGGTTTTTCTGTATATAAACAACATGTATAAGTTTTTTGAATGTTGGTAGACAAATAATTGTGTTTTTCTGTATTTTGTCATTTTTTAATTATTCCAAAAAAGCTATTATATTTTTTCATTTTTTCCCCCATTTGGTTATTTTAGCGTGTTTATCAGTAAGTTTTCGATTTTTACATATTTTTTCGTTAACTTAATTTTTTTTGAAAAAACTAACATTTTCCAAACTTTTTCGTTTGGACCAATTTTTTTTCGTCTTGGATCATAGTTTTCATATTTTTCTTCTGTTGTTATGGTGTTTTTGATAGGCTTTAACATTAAAATATAATGGATACATTTTATTTTTCCAAAACAAATAAACATGATGTCGTGTTCAATTATTGTTGGTAAAATATATATCAAAATCTATCTGAAGATGCTCAAATATTGTATTAGGTGAAAAACCACGATTTAGTTCAACTTGACATCATAATTTGATTTTAGAATCAAACAAAATGGCAGCTTCCAAACGCTAATATGTATTTTGTATATAATTTAAGTTTTTATGTTTTTTGCATTGGAAATGTTATAAATAATCCATAATAATATTATTACATTCAATCAAGGGTTTATTTTTCCCCATCAATAGTGAGATTAATAATAGCTCATTTAATAAATTCCTTAGCATTGCATTATTATTCAATTTCGATGCAAAACCTTCAATCTCAAAGAAATATAGTAAAACTATTGTTGTGAGTTTATCTTAAATCATGTTTAAATGGTTAGAAAATAACTATTTGTGACAACAAATTGAAAATCGAACGATAAGTTTAATGATAAGAAACGTCACATACTTGAAATAAACTATGTCGATGATAAGTAAGTTTATGACGTTAGTTTTAAAGAAACAAACTTCCGAAAACAAGTCCTCTAATTAAAAAAACCAACAAAATGAAATTGCTTTACATCACATATTGACATTAAATATGTAAGCATGTAGCACCCATAAGTTTACAAAATAAGCTTTTGAACACTTATGATCATAATGTTGAATGTTTATGATAAGTATGATGTTTTAGTGATTTACTACCATGTAAGTAGTGCTAACAAAGCCTTTAAAATAAAATGCTATAAAGTGGAAAACTTCATAAGTTATGTGTTTTAGTTTTGACTTACAATTCCAGCTCTCGTTAGAATTAGAGTGTTTTGGTTATTAGTTTTTACATAAAGCCAAATGAAGTAATATGCAAAAATAAAAAAATAAATAATAAAAAATAATAATAATAAAGAACCATGTAAATTGGATGATAGATAAAGGAGTTGTGGGAAAAATGACAAATTTGTGTATTGCGCACGACAATGCGGTCTAAGCAGTTTTTTTAAGCACAAATTATGTTTTCTTCAGCACAATGTGTTGGTTGAAAAAAATAACAACTTAATTTGATGAGATAAAATGTATTTTTGCCATGTTTTTTTGTCACAAACGGAAATGGATTAATGAAAGCTTTTAGGGGTGAATTTAGGTCATTTTTATATTATTTTTAAAGGGTTTTTGAGCGGGATTACAAACTTCAACTACCTTATACTACGACGATCAAATGTAAAAGTTAGGGTTTCGCCAAATTATGGAAAAGGTTAGACCTACCATTTGACCACAGTTTTTAATGTTTGTGGATGCCATTACGTCACAAACATGTCCCAAACTCATATGTGTGAACTAATGTGCCAATTATGGTGTACTAAGTTGGTTTTTGAAGACATCTGGTGGATTTGAAGAATGAAATCAAAATTAAGCTTCTACAAGTTATGATAATTTGGGCATACATCAAGATTGAAGCTTGATTTGCTATTATTTTGTTGAATGAATTCAACAATCTTAAATCGGTGTCCTGATTAGTTAAATGTAAAATTATTTGGTAAACTTAACATCTTGTGTGTATGAAATGATTGCATTTAGAAAGAGTGTTCGTTGCATGCTCATGCATCCATTTGAATGTCATTACATTTAGTCATATGTCTAGACACCCGTTTAAATGAGGCGATGATAGCATTTTGATGCCAATTATATCTCAAAGCTATGACTTTTGGAAGAACCAAGGTTACACGGAATTGATACATTTATCCTAAATGGTAAAGGAGTCGAAGATTCCGCCGATGGGGACGTTGACTCCCCGAATCTTGTGTGTGCTTAGATTATGCATAACATAATGGCTTCAAATGGTTGAAAACTATTAGTTATGGAGAATATATGAAGATAAAGTATGTATGATCTATTAGGGGTGTTCATCAGTTCAAATCCAATGGATTTCGATGGTATCGATCCAATCTAATCATCTATTGGATGTTGGATTTTGTCAACCGACCCAATCCAATTCAGTATAAAAAACCGAACCAAACCGATCAAATTGGATGTTGGATCGAACCGGTTTTATCCATTGGATTTTAATTGATTTAATCCATTGGTTATCCATTATCCAACCAATTATAATCAATTTCTATTGAATAACCAAATATAATTATGATAACTAAAAATAAAACTACACATAACTACACTAAATGAGACTAAGAAAGTAACTTCAAGTCTTCAACTTATTTTTTATTGAATAATTAATAGTATTTAATATTTATTAGATTAAAATTGGATATCCAATTGGATTAGATCGGTTCGGTTATCCATTCGATTTTCAGGATGATCTAATAACCGATCCAATCTAATTGGACTTTGAAATTTAACATCCGGTCCAATCTAATTGTAATTGGATATTCAATCCAATTAGTCGGTTTGTAATTAGATCGGTCGATTACCATTCAATCGATTAATTTTGCCCACGCTTATCATCTATATCAAAACTTATGTATCTCGATACTTGATGTCTTGTTTACTTTTTTAAATGGCATATATTTCATTGACATATACCACTTACATGGACTTTTGGGATTGTAGGACCTTACTTTTACTTTTGACCTAGAAGTGGAAAGATTTTAGTAGTATCTTTTGAATTGTAAATGCTTGTAATAACTTATGATGTTTTCCTATAGTTTATCCATATTAGTTTGTTACACCGTGAAACACAAAATCTATATTTTGGTTAAAAGAAAATTGTACAAATTGGAGGTATCTTCTGCTAATCATCATATTTTGTAAATGAAATGATGTTTATAATGGTATAAAAGTTAGGATGTTACATGATTTATCTTTAAACCAGCCAGTATGGCAACCAAGATTCTAAAATGTACCCACTTTCACATATCTCACGTTCACTTCACCATATGTATTCCATTGATTCAAGGACAAATTAGTTTCTTTTATTCGTATACACAAAATTTATCCATCAACATTTTTCCCTCTTAAAACCTTTTTCCTTTTTTTTTGTCTCTTGTAGATGGTCTCTCATGCATGCATGCGTGTGTGATTCTTGCAAGGTAAGCTTTTGAACACACGTGATCATAATGTTGAACGTGTGTGCCACAAGTATCATGTTTTAGTAAATTCCTACCATGTAAGTAATGCTCACAAAATCTTTCAAGTAGAATGCTATAAAGTGGTAAAACTTCCTACTGCTTCATATAAAAGATGTTTTGAAATTAAAATTTTCATGTGTATTATGTAACCATATTGAGATGTTAGAAAACGTCAGCTAAAAAGTACTGATTTTTTCTCAACTCAAATCATTTGTTAAAAATGATATAATTAGGGAAAACACCCGACACCACATTCAAGACAAGTTTCCACATGAGCAACAAAATCTACTTACATAATTATTATGGCTTACGAAACTACAATCAAGGAAAAAAAAAACAAAACAATTTCTAAAAAACATCCAGAAAAAGGAACATTCATGCACCAAATTTAACGAAATATCTTTGAATGCAACCTGAGTTTGACTGTTACCCATGATAATATTGTATATTATATATATGTATATTATATTAATCTTATATAATGTGTAACAGCTCATAAATATTTATCAACCAAGATTTCCCAATAGCCTCTCAACTGCAGCATGAACATTACCTGCTGTTGCTGTCAGTGCTTGAAGATTCTCACGTGTGTCAAAGAATCCCATTTCTTGTAGCTGTGCCAATTGTGTAGCATACAATTCCTCCGGAGGCACTGTTTTTTTATTTTTATTTTAAAAAAAATGAAAAATACATGAGTTTATTTGTCAGATATGAAAGATGTTTGATAATATGTTGGTTACCATGTGAATTGTTTGGCATTGTGAAGCCACCAGTTCCAAGTCCACCAAACATGTTCATAAGCATATCCAATCCCATGTTATCGG